TAGCTAGCAATATCCCACAAACTTCACGTCGGAAGTCCAGCAGGCCTTGTTTACGGCGTACGGATCCTCGTAGGCAACGCCGTTCACGCACAGTTTGTTTCGATACCGCTGCCGTTCAGGCTCGGGTAGTGAGCTTAAATAGTCGGGCATAGTATACGACATACGTTGTCAGGAAATACGTCGCACAAATAAAGCTAGAAGCGTCTCTACAACGTTAACAACGAGCGCACGCCACGCAACGCAATGGCGAAAACACGGAGAGCCGGACCAGTGGGTGTGGCGACAAAGGCGCTGGAGAGAAGAAAAGTGAAGGAGAGGGAGGAGAGCACCAAAGAAGCTTGAGAGGAAGCGCAACACGCTTTCGGTGCACTATTGAGGCTACGCGGCGTCTGCTAAGGGCTGACGTCTTTTTCGCCTGAATAAAAGTTTGCGGTCGAACGTCAAGAGAAGTTCATTTGGTAGCTTTAAAAACCCACCAAGGAATAACATTTGATCATTTTCTTGTCAGAGCCAGCGATATAAAAGGAAATTATCAAAATTTGGATGCCGATGCCATTTTACCGGGCGAATGATTGCGAATGGAAGCCCTCTCCGCTTAGCTAGGAGTAGCCGGAAGTTCACGCGCATGAGCTCACGCCTCTTACTTTGTGCCGCGGGCTGATTGGCTCACTCGGGAGGGGGCGTTACGGCGACGAGATCACAAGCTGGCCAAACTCTCCCAATATATGGCTCTGCTCTATGGAACACACAGTTTTAAAACTAAAATCTAGATGGCGCTTCAAACAACGGGAAGCCTCTGCGGGAAGCGGACTGAAGTGACTGAGGGGGGAAGCCCCCTCCGCGGGAGTTCGGCTTCTGAGGTAATCTAGTAACGTTGACTTTGCCTCGTCGTGACCTCATGAGTTGTAATTATGGCTATTTATCAAAAGTTGCGAACTACACGCTTGATAGTGTTATAAAAAGCACGATAGAACCCTGGGGTCATCGCATTCTTAAACCAACATCGTCAAAGTTGACATTCAGACATTCTTATTTCCGTCGATGAAAGCAACATTAAACCAAATAAAAATGTTATTGGTGACGAGATCAGAGAGATTTGTGTTGCACAACAAAAAATAGTACCGTACTAAATTTGCGTCCCTCCGGAGTCTTCAGGGGGGTTGGGGGGCATACCACGCTTGCTCCTCCCCCCCCCCCCCCCCCTCGCCCCACCTCCCCTTTGCTGTGCACGCCAATGCTGTTAGCCACGCTTAACATAAAGGAGATATGTTCCGGTGACTGGTTGTGTAAGTTTTCGTAACGTAAAGGCTGGTTCACAAAGCACCGTTTTCTTACGTCTTATTACGTTACGTCAGAGGTCGGCATTTTGGGCTGAACTCACAGCTATCTAGCTCAAAATAAAAATGCTAAAACTCACTCAGTCTCACCCTCACGGCCGCACTCACATTCAAGTCCTGACTCACGAACTAATGAACTCACCGAACTTACGAACTCACGCCCCTCACCAAACTCATGGCCCTCAACGAACTCACAAACTCACGCCTCTCACCGAACCCATGAATTCACCGAACTCATGAACTCACCAAACTCGTGAAGACACTGAACTCAAGAACTCACGCCCCTCATCGCACTCATGAACTCACTCACTCACCGACTTCACTCAGTCAGGCGTAGTTCTCGCACTCACCGTAGTCGCAGCGCTGGCGCTCGTGTTGAGCGCGGGTTGCGCGGCATTTTACAACTCCGCCACAGTCGCTGCCGTCTTCCGCCGCTAAGGCACCAGTCGTCACGTCACCAAATGAAGAAATGTTTTGTCTTTTTTTTTCGATCCGACTCCTTTCTCGCCCCTCAAGCGCGCTGACCGAGCGCTTGAGGAAGGTGCTCTTTGTTGGAATACAAGGGCGCATCATCGCGAGTTTTGTAAAGAAGAGTTCTTCACGGTGTGCACAGTTTGTTTCAAGCATTCGCGACAACTTCGTGCAAGCATCGAGTGAGCGCCTGCATCGCTGTCTACTCAGGTGTGAAATATTATTATTGCCAACTTCTCGTGAATGGTAGGACGGCTTGCTCGGCAATTCGTCGTCGAGTAACGTTATTTCGGAAACGTCTGTCTTTCTATTTATCTTCGTTCAAACAAATTATTTCGTCTAAAATAACTGCCTGGTGTATATTTTTATTCTGGAAGAAGGAATGATTGAAGAATTTTGTGCGTATTATATTACTGTTCATTAATTTTTTGACACATACCTCTCGTTTTCCGTCGCACCGCACATACAAATTAAAACTGGATAGTTCCGATCTACCGACTCTGTGCCTCATAAAATGCTACACTTTACGGATCCTAAAATAAAGTAGTCATCTCTGTCAGATGCCTTGGGTATTCGTGTTGCTCAGACAATACGTGCTCGTGTTCAAAATTGTGAATATGTTAAATACAAATATTTACACGCAACTTGTAGAAAGTTGTATTTTATATTAAAATCATTTATTAGTTTTTGATGGATGGCAATTTTTTTAATTTTTATTCTCTGATTTGAACAAATGAGCGGCCCGGTGTAAGCGCAAGTTCTTTTACCTTCGATGTTTAAATTACTTCACATCTAACTACTCATAACCTAATTCGGATATCCACGCTATACTTCAGGACGTTGACGAGCACGGTCGTGCAAAGTAATAAAACGGGCTACATTTCTTCGAGATTTGTTTTCTTAGATACAAATAATTGTGGCACTTAAATTTTTCAAACGGGAAGAGTGCTTTCGCGCACGCATGCACATATATCAAAGATTTGTTTAATTAGTCTGGTTTGAACCTTACCCCTCTTCCTGTTATTTATTCGTATAAATATAAATTATGTTGCCAAAAAGAAAAATAGTCTCCTGAAAAACGACTGAGACGTGCATCGGCGCGACCTGTGCCGGTTGATAAATAATAATATATAGGAATCATAACTAATATATATATATACTATTGGAGCTAGTAAGAAAACCATTTCTACGGCGCGCGAAAGTTTTCGGGTGCAGCCAGTATTCCGACTCTGCTCAATGGCTCCCTTTTGAGCGACTAAAGGGATGTCATATAGCAGGTTAAGAACGCCAATTTGTTATTTTTAATATAAAGCGAAAGCAAAGGATATTTCATATCTCTTTGAATGTAATCTAGAAAATAGTCGTATACTTTTGTTCTATCACAATCAAAAATCTAATTAACATTGTATGCTACTAAATGAAGGTAGCATCATTTAAACCACTGTCGAACAAGTCCGGGTGTATCGGGCCTACTCGAGCACAAAGGCTTGTACGCGTCCTTTTTGTTTACAGAACTGCAGGCTACAACTTGAACAAACAAGTATACAGGCGAATCTTTACAGTTCCCAGCCGGTACTCATTTTAATACTAGCTTCAGGATTACCGACCATGCATAAGACGAGCGCACTCCAACTAGCAACGTCAGCCTTCAGGCGTACCGGCGTAGCGCCCGTTCGCCTCCTTCACGAAAAAACAAAACGCCGCGCGTATATCGGTGCCTCACGGTCTACACGGGAGCGGCCCAGGCGAGCGGGAGAGTCCTGCATTCTTTCTCGTGATCGCGCCACGAAGCAGCGACCAGCGGCAAGAGACCACGCCAAGCCGCCGCAAAGCGATTAGCAACTGAAGAGCGCAAATATATCAATAGGCACCTTTCATCCTTTTCGATCACTTGTAGATAACCAGCCGTACGAGCTAACAGCGCCATTGCGAACCGAGCTTCGACTGAACTTCCCCGGAAATGTACGGGTAAGTCACCTGACCCGCCCTTCCTCGACGTCACCCCCGAAACCCTCAGCCAACCCGTGGCCACCAACGGACCATATGCCTCGCCAAACTCATGAACTCACCAACCTTATGAACTCACGCTCCTCATCCAACTCGTGATCTCACGACCCTTACCGAACTCAAATACTCACGACCCTCACCAAACTGACGCACTCACCGACCTTATAAACTCACGCCACTCGCTGAACTCATGAACTCTCTGAACTCATGAACTCACCGAACAAATGAACTCACGCCCCTCACCGAACTCATGAGCTCACAAACTCACGCCCCTCGCCGAACTCTTGAACTCACTGAACTCGTGAGCTCACCAAACTCATGAACTCACCGAACTCACGCTTCTCACTCAACCTCAAACTCGCGAGTTTTCAAGGCTTATGAACTCGAAAGTGAGTGAAGCTCCCCGTATGGCGACCATGCGGGGAGTTTGGCGCTGTTTTCTTAGGGTCCAGAGACTTTACTGACGACCTGTGAATACTTCCTATATTGAACTTTTCGTCAAGCACAAATGCCGACCTCAGCGACGTTTCTGGTCGCGCCGTTGCCCATAGACCTCTTGCTAAATTACCCAAACAAGAAAGAAAATGCCGGAAACGCAGGTGCACGCGCTGCACGTGCTGGCGTCTGCAGCAGTAACTGTTCTAAAGCAAAAACCTAAAACAAACTTGCATAGGCGTTCGTCATTTTATTTACTTCAAATATTTTATGCGGGAATGGCGAGCGCGTGGGAGCGTGAAACCGACATTCCCAGCATTCTCCTTGGAGCTCGGGCAATTTATCGATTGTAGAGCGATAGATCTACATGGACAAGATTGCCTAAATCGAGCACCCTCGACTTTCAGAAGCGAAGGCGATGTACGAAGGCCAACTTCCCAGTTTTAGGCTTTATGCTTTGTGATATGTTTGCCTGTGCTGGTTCAGGATGCTGCGTAATGCTGCCATTAGAACTTCAGGTTTGACTCTGAACTGAGAGGAAAGACTGGCTTTTTAAAAGGGGTCTATAAACTTAGACACTCTAGATGACATATGAAGGCTGTGTAACAGATAACCATTGTCAACCATATCAAGTTAGTTGACAATAATTTCACTAGTTTTTCTATGTATTTCGTTCCTGGGATGTTGATGTGAAATCTCGCGAAGGGACATAACTTCTGTTGCTCACAAACACAACAATTGCCTACTCACTCGAAAGTGTGTCCTTGGGCCAGTGGTGATGCTGAAACATCCATTCTAAAAGCGAAAGAAAACCGAATTAAGCTGGGTTACATTTTACTTTCTTTATCAGAAGACGCTCCGTAGTTCATATAAATTATTTTGAACAGTGTACTGAAAAGCATGGACTCGACTGCATGGTCATAGAAATATTTGTCCAATCTCTTCTTTCCCTTATTTCGTTATTAACTGCCGACGAAGCTGTAAGAAGGAGGAGCCGGCTAACATTACAATAATAATATAAAAGAAACAATAAACAAATGGAGCACGAGCGAGGTCGAGCCAACACCTCCTAACACCAAACAGGAAGTTATCTCACTTAAGTATCGGGAGACGCTTCGCATTAACACGATTCGGTCTGTACATCGTGGCACCTGCAGGTCAGCAATCGCCTTCACGATTCCAGCAGATGACATAAGCTGGAGCGGACGGTTTCAAGAGCAAGTCAGTTCAACCACTGCTAAGCTTACTGCTAAGTGTAAAGCCCTCAACTTCATTTTAACTCGAACGCCCCACGAACTGCTCATAATCACGAACACTGAAACGGCGCAACGACTTTCTATACCATGGATCTCACGACGAGACTCTCATCAACGCCATATATAACTAACACACCTTTGGAGCCTGTGATTGAAAGTAGAGTTTTAGTAGGCGCCCTTTGTGGGAATATTTGACAACATAAAGGCGGATTAGTTGGCTAGACTCGCACATAGTTTACAAAGTTCAATCCCAATCCCAATGAACCTGAACGGTCTAGGCCGCTGATGGGACGTATAGGGACCACCACTTTCGCGGCACACCAGCCATGCCTAACTAAAGATCTAGGGCGAAAAAAAGGAAAAGCTAGGTTTTTTGTGTCAATTTGATGTAGTAGAACATTCACACGAGCCTTTCGCTCGAAGATATGCGTTGTTGACAACCCTGACTGCCTCAAATGCTCTCACCGTAATACCTGCACCCACGTCCAGCTACACTGCACCGAGTACTCGGACGCACGTCCAGCTACACTGCACGGAGTACTCGGACGCCCGTCAGCTCCTGCTCGCAAAGCTTTCCGCGATCGGAATCGGAAATCCTTCGGAAAAGACCATCATCATTTCTACTTGATTCATTTCGCCGACACCGGAAAATTCAGAACTATACTGGAGTTCCTCAACTCTCGAGTCAAACGACCTCGCTGATAGACTGCAGAAGTGTTTTGTCCCTCCCAGTACGACTCATCCCAATTCTTTCATGCGCCTACTCTTTCTTGTCCTCTGAATGCTTTCGACCTTTACCTTTCTTTCTCTTTCGCTTTCTTTCTTCAATTTTTCAAGAAACAACAGTTTGGCAACCCCTTCAAAACAAACATCCCCCCTGGTACCATAACACTGTTACGCCTTGAATGTTTTACTACTCCCAGTTCATGTTTATATATTTATTTACTTATTTTAAACCTAAAGGCACTTTCGGGCATTACATAAGGGAGACGTAATACAAAGATTGGTACAACTAAACCACATGGCAACTACTATTCTAAACGTAACTGTAATTTGTCTTACCACTATTCATCTCCAGTTTCTCGAACCATTCGGGATCTTCATCTACTTGAAAAAAGGGCAAGGTTAAATATGATGGAGTATTTCGTCTATATTGAAGTCAAGAAAAGTTTAAAAAAAAGCAGTACGTATGTGACAACAAAGCTCTTTCAAATAACTTCGCGATAATCAAATCAAAACTCTCATTCTTTCCCTCCTAGACTTAAGAAATGTTTTGCAGTTATGACCTTTCTTCACACAAACTACTGTGTTGAGACCTCGCATTTAGTTTCTTACTACGTAACGTGGCACCACAACGTGACGCCGCGACACCACCGGAGCTGGAGTGGCCAGGCACATGTCAAGTTGTCCCGTGATCTGTAGTGCATTTTTGTTTTGTTTTGTACTTTTAGCTAAAAGTACGCATCTGTATATATACAGGGTGTTTCAGAGCACGCAGGCTAAATCGCTCCTGCGAAAACTACTCATCGCAACGAAAAAAAGCTTGTGGCGTTTTGGTCTTGGGCCAGGGGCCCATTTAGGAAAATTATTAAAGTCCGGGATAATTAAGTTGTTATATATTTATGCGTAATTAGCTTTTTTTATCATTGTGTTTAAGGGCATGGTTTCAATTAGAATATTGCTCAGCATCATCGAGAAACACTAAATCAACAAATTTTCAGAACGATAGAATGCACACGAAGCATTTTACGGTTTTCTGAAAAACCACACAAATTCGACGGTTTTTTAAGTTTCGGTTTGCTATCTCGACCCCGGCGGTACCGCGCCCTGTAGAGAGACAGTGCAACCAAGTTGAACTGTCTCTCCACACACACACACACAGATATATATATATATATATATATATATATATATATATATATATATATATATATATATATATATATATATATATATATATATATATATATATATATATATATACATATATATATATACGGACACAGCAGCTGTAGGATGATAAAAATAAACTCTGATTTAATGGCCAAAAAAGTCACGAAAGAATAAAGGGTGAAGTGCCGAAAAATAGTTGTATTCGTTTACAAGAATAATGAGGGCTAGGCACAAGAACGCTAGTTACGCGGGGAAAAAAAAAAGCTTTGACTTTTGTTCCGTCCTTTTTCAGGTTTTTTTCCCGCGTAACTAGCGTTCTTGTGCCTAGCTTTCATTATTCTTGTAAACTAATACAACTATTTTTCGGCACTTCACCCTTTCTTCTTGCGTGACTTTTTTGCCATTAAATTATAACTTTATTTTTATCATCCTACGGCTGCTGTGTCCGCGCACCTTACTTTTGTCTCTCTCTCTCTCTATGTATATATATATATCCAATACAAGCTGCCATCTTGGAGCTGGGGCCCCGTCAGGCTACACTTGATGCAGCTTTTTTCCCTAGCCGCCATCTTTCTTGTGACATAAAATAAAGTATTGCTCAATTGATTCATTCATTCATTGATAGCAGCTACGTGACCACGTAACCACGTGACCCATAACGACGTCACGTTAAATTCACCCGGGCGTTAGCCCTCTCAATTCAGACGAACCTATGAGGGCTTGCTGGGAACCATAGACGATATTCAAAACCCCATCAAGCTACATTGGGAGCCGCCATTGCCCGGGCACGAAACCTATGATTGGATCCGAGTCCTCACCGAAAGCAGACGCAGCGCACTTGAGACAGCGTTAGCTAAAATGGACTAATTTGATTTCGAACAAGCCGGTCCTGTTCTTCGTATTTTTGCCCTTATCGGGATTATCAACATCCCCCTCGCAGATATGTATCCATCGTCATAGTTATCGTGTTTGCAATCAATAGATCAATATTAACTTCTCACAGTTTGGGATGCCATTGGACCTTGAGGCGATGCGTGGCTTTTGAATGGCACGTACGGCGTGAGGCATTGAGCCGCCTCGCGACCGAGCCATCGCAACCAGCGGCTGGATAGAGTGCGTTGCGTTCACCAGTCCACTCTAATGGGTAAAGGCAAAACAGAAAGCGACCAAATTAATTAATTATTTAATGTTTTAAACGCTAGATGCATTCATTCTCTTATCGGCGTACCATTTTATAGAATCCGTCAGATTTCTCCAAGGATATGGCGGCCAAGTGCCTACGGTCATGGTATAACCGCTCCGAAAGTCGTCTCCCGGATAGCTGTTTGGTAAAGAAATCAAAATCACCTTGCTCTAGTCAGGAATGAAAGAGTTAAGCCGCGTTTACGCTGCTAATAAATAAAACGAAACAGTCTGCAGACACAATCTTAAGCCTGTCCACAAACATTGTCTTCATATTATGCAAGACGGAGCCTTGTATAGCGGTCCTGTCACACTGGTCATGCAAAAACGTTCTGCAGGTATCTCCGAAGCATACATATATTTATGAAACAAGCAAACTTCAAGCATGCTTCAGGTGTGACCGTTGCAGATAATTTTGTCATCATATATGCAGCGAACACCGTCTCTTTTGTATGATGTATGATCAGTGTGACCGCGGCTTGAATTTTTAAAATATAATAAGATCACATATTTCTACGCTATAGTAGACTGTTTTCAAAATAGTATCAAGCAACATTGGGGGTCGCCATTGCATGAACACGAAGCGTGTGATCCTCAACTCAAAAGCGAAATAAGATATCACGTGGTCGTGCTGTCTTGAGCACCCGATGCCATGACTCCAAGCTCCCGATATTGTGAACTAGAACTATAGTCCATTGCAACTCAGGAAGGTAGGGCGACGGAAAGAAGGCCGGGTTGGAGGAAACAGAGGGGACGCTAGAGAGGAGAGGGAGAAACCTCCTCCTTTTTTTAGCGTTCCGTCTGCTTCCTCCTTCCCGGCCTACTTTCCCTCGCCCTACTTTCTTGACTGAAAAAGCAGCGGCGGTGCCTCCTCGGCCGCGTGAAGCCCTAAAGTGCTGAAAGTCGCGTGTGGCGCTGGTGTCGAAATCCCGATGACCTTGTGCTTCTCGTGCTGCGCCCTGCTGCCCTGCCGCCCTGCTATTGGCGACGTGCGCGATCGAAAGCGTCGCTGTGGTCGGCTTGCCACGATTGGCCGAATGCTGACCATGACGTCATCAAAGGATTCATTATCGACAGAAATTAGAGGAATACGAGAACTTCAATTCTGACGGTGTTGGCAATGCTGCTTTAAGAGCGAAGTGATTTCATGTTTGCACCATGCAAGTTACAAACACCATCAAGTTTGTTCTTTGCGAGGTATTGACGTCACGTGAGGGAACCATAGGAGGGCCCCACCCAAAACATCTCGCCGCTAATACCCGCTGAAATGAAAACGGAAGAAAAAAATGGGAACGGCTGGAACAGGCTGGTTGTCGTGTGCGAGCAAGGTTTGGCTGCGCTCGGTAAAAGAGCACTAGCGCCCCCTGGTAGGTGCGACACAATGCCTCACACGGAGCATAACCTTAGAGATTCTTCGCACGCTGGCAGCGTTTTTCAGTCCATTGCATCCGCCAGTGGAGACTGTGGAGCGGTTGGTGGAACTCGCAACCAAACAAAAGTAAAACCCTCTACCCTGGGAAAAGTGGCGCCATTCATTGTTGTGGAAATGCTCAAAACACGTTACGCGCGCCATTTCTGGGAAGAACATGGCGACTGAAATCTAGCTCAGTGCTGCGCTGTGCCGCCAAGGGCTGCACGTTGCACGTGTCTCCTGCATCGACGCACCCTGCGCTACTTTTGAATCATAAAGGGGCTTTGAACCAAAGAATACAAAGAAATAGCTGCGATGTATCATCATCACCATTATTGTCGGTCTGCAGAGCTTAGAAGCAGCGCGAAACGTGTTCCCCGCCTCCCGTCGCAAGACACAGACCTTTGGCAAGGAAGAAGTCCGAAACTTGAAGGTTCCTATTTTGAAAGCGAGAAGGGTGTAGAACAAATGTCAGCACAGATCAGTGAAGTTAAGGAAGCTGTCAGCATACATGACGACAAAAATATTGTTATGCCTGTCCTGCCGGCCCAGGAACTATCCGCGGAGGAAGAATATAGATTCGCACTAAATCTTCCACTCTGAGATATTATCCAGCGAAACAGCTCAAAGACCGAAGCAGAAAATAAAAATTAGGAATCAACGGAGATCGACTGACCGCTCTGTATTCTGATGGTGAGAATAGTGAAAATGCAAGCTTCATGCCGCGTACTCTCACTTGACAGCGAGGCGATTCTGTTTTCGTTTCTGGTTTGGTTATAAACGCAGCATGCGGAGATCTAGAGAACTGACTCGGCTCGCTTTTTCTGTTGAGAAGCCGAGCGTTCGGACAGGCCGGAGCAGAGCGTACGAGAAATCTCGGAGGATGATGGTCGTATCTGCGTCAGCTGCTGTGCCAGGATCCCCACAGGAAATAGCATGGCACTTTTATGACGTCATCAGTCTAGGAGGCCACGCGCGGAGGCCGCCGCTTTTTCCACTACTCAATGTTCTAGTTCACTGAACTTCCACCGTGCTATTTAGGCGGTATTCACACAGGGAGAAATTCCGGGGATTTCTTCCCGGCGCGAGGTATGAAGAGCTTCGTACAACAAAGGTGGAACTAGATGCACCTAAAAAGGAGCATGCAGCGTTAAAACTGGAAAAAGAGCAACTGGCACAATCGCTTGGGACCACGCAGAAAGAGTTAACAGAGTTGAAGCAATACACCAGGCTCAGCAATCTTGAGATTAAGGGGATTCTGCAAAACCAGAGCGAATCACTGATGGAAGTTGTTCAGAAGATAGGGGACAAAGTTGGAATGTGCGTCGAACCCAAAGATATTGACGTGGTGCATCGTGTGCCCACAAAGGACAGGACAAAAACAAACATCATTGTAAGGTTTTCGTCACGTGCCGTGCGAGATAAAGTCTTGAAAGCGGCAAAAAAGAAAAGGCTCTCAGCTAGCGATATCGGGTTTTCAGATACCAATGCGGTGTATATTAACGAGCACCTCTGTCCAGAATATAAAGCTTTGCTGGGCATGGCAATTGCTAGAAAGAAAGAAAAAAACTGGAGATTTGTGTGTGTCTCGCAGTCAAAAATACTAGCAAGGAAGGCAGAAAATTCGAATGTCATTCACATCGCTTCTCGAGATGACCTGGATAAGATAGCATAGCCTCAAAAACCAAGACACCGAGCTAGAAATGCGTAACGGTGTGACGTGCACCATGCCGTGTACGAGCTCTGAAGCTATAAGCCTTCTACACTGTAATGTTAGGAGCTTAAACAAAAACTATGATCCACTGGTCGCTTTGCTGACGCGGCTGGATGAGCAATACAGCGTTGTGGCAATCTCGGAGACGTGGCTTAAAAAAGATGAATTTATGAACATTCCTAATTATAGATTTTTATCCCTGCCAAGATTGGCTAGTTCAAGAGGTGGTGGCGTAGCATTATACATATCTTCACAAACCATATATAAGATATTACCAAACTTGACAGAGACAAAAACAGGCCTGTATGACATGCTGTTTGCGGAACTGGATTGTGAAGTCATTGTTGGTGTAATATACAGACCGCCAGAATCAAACACTCGGGCATTCCTAGAAAAGCTGGAAGATGTGTTGTACCGTCTTGCGAACAAAAATAACAAAGCGATTATCTGTGGTGACTTCAACATAAATATAACAGACCCCTCAAGTACAGAATACTGGAACCTCCTGCTATCTTACGGCTTCCAGAACCATATTACAGATCCAACAAGAGTAACACTAACGTCTTGTTCAATAGATCATATACTCTCCTATTTTGAAGACAGCTCCGTAAAAGCTGGGGTTATAACAGAAAACGTCGTAGATCATTTCCCTACTTTTATTGTCGCTCCCAATGCAGAAAAGAACCTTCAAAAAGAACCCACAGTCGGCCATGGTGTATCAAGGTGGAATTATGAGGCAACTAAAAGGTCCCTTCAGGAGACAAACTTTTCTCAGATCAATTTTACCGACACTAACAATGCATATGATACCTGTTCAACACTGTTCAAATCTTGTTTTATAGCACACAAATTCGTATCTCGCCGGGCAGCACAGCTTTATTCTCCCATTTGTCCCTGGATGAACGAGGAGATACTGAAGTTAATTAGGCTCAAGGAACACTGGTATAACAAAATGAAGCAAAACAAGGACAACGACTATTACAGGGAAACGTTTAGAGTTGCACGGAACCTATCGCTATCCACCATGCGGAAGCGTAAAAAGCAATATTTTAGCAGCCGTATTGCAAAAGCTAACGGTAGCTCCAAAGAAATATGGCGCACAATTAACCTTGTAATGAAGTCCTCTCAACAATGTAACATTTTACCAGATTTGAACATTCTTAATTGTGATCAAGCGCACCTTGTGTCAATGTTCAATGACTTTTTCATTAGCATAAGTACATCCTCAGCTGCAGTATCAGATGAAACGTCAAAAATTATCCTACCTAGCCCATGCATTAATACATTTGTTTACGTAGAAATAACAGCCGCCGAAATTGTTGGCGTTGCCAGACAAATGTTATCAAACAAAGCTATGGGCCACGACGAAATCTCGGTAAACCTATTGAAAGACAACATTGACATCCTGTGCTACCCACTACAAAAACTGTTTAACCAGGCATTTTTTTCGGGAATTTACCCAGAAAAACTTACGATTGGGAGAGTAGTACCAATTTACAAAAGTGGTGACCCTAATGACCTGGCTAATTATCGCCCGATTACAATTCTGTCCTGCATTATTACACTATTTGAAAAACTAATTGCCGCGAGAATAATGAACTTTGTCGAGAAATACAACATTTTGGTTGCTAATCAACATGGTTTTCGGAAAAACTTCTCTACAGGCACAGCAGTACACTCCGTATCAGAAATAGTCAATTCCTCCCTCAACAAAAATAGAACTACTATAGGCATATTCCTCGATATAAAAAAAGCTTTCGATTCTGTTAATCACGACATTCTTTTACAAAAACTTGAGCGTTACGGTTTTCGAGGGCCAGCTGGCAAATTTTTTCGTAGCTACTTAACAAACCGCACCCAATTTGTACAAATTTCCCATAATCAATCTACAACCGCGATAGTGAAAACTGGTGTACCACAGGGGTCGGTGTTAGGACCGATACTTTTCTCTCTTTTCATCAATGATTACGCAGCTTGCCTCAGACATTCCGAAGCAGTTTTATACGCCGATGATACAGCCTTACTAGTATCACATCATTCTCTTGAAGAGGCCGAATTACTAGCAAATAACGACTTGAAAAATACGATAACTTGGTTTAATTGCAACAAGCTGGTGCTAAATATTAAAAAAAAAACTAAGTTCATTGTTTTCGCGTCTGATCGGAAACAACAATCATTTACATGTAACCTGCATCTAGGAGGTTTACACATCGATCAAGTTATCACTTATAAATACCTAGGAATTACCCTAGATTCAACACTACACTGGGCTCCCCACATTGACGAGCTATGTAAAAAATTAACCTTCGGATGCTTTTCATTAGTGAAAGCACGGAAACATTTTAGCAAACAAACATTACGCATGATTTACTTCGGTGTGTTTCATACTCATTTAACCTATTGTGTTGAATCATGGGGTTTCACTTACGCGTCATATCTAGCGAGAGTTACCGTTCTGCAAAGAAGGGCAATCAGGATAATAGCAGCAGCACCTATACATGCATCAGCTAAGCATCTTTTTAGTGAATTAAACATAATCCCCATCAACTTAGCTCGCGACCATAAGACTGCCACTTTAGTCCAAAGAATTTTAACCCAGAATACTCCATATCACTCTTCTATATTCAATTTTCCAAAACGTGAAACCCGACAACTACATTATAATAACCTTAATTTGCCGATAATTTACAATGCTTACGGGCGCCGCTTAATATCGTTCATTGGTGCGAAGATATGGAATAACATTTCATGTAATATAAAACTAGCAACAAATTTTTTACTCTCATTAAAACGATTTATTTCATCTGAAGTGTACAACTCACCCTGTTAACTCCGTACTAGTAGTTATATTATTTGTGCAGCTATGTATAGATTGTGTGAATGCCTATAGGATTGTTTTAAAGGGATACGGAATCGAAACTTGAAATATAAAGAAAACATCAAGAAATGAGTTCAATATGATCAGCTAAGCCTGTAATGAATAATCGCACGGTCGTATTTTGAGCAGATGGCTATATTTTATGCTCTAAATGCCGCGATTTTGGCGAGCGCTTCAAAATCAGCCATGGAGGAGCGCGATGCATCTCGGGAGATCCGGCAGACGTCTTGACGTCATCATGCCTCGGACGACCAAGCGTGCCGTAGTGACGAGTTTTGCCACTTGGAGGCGTCAACGCGTTACAATCTCGCTTTGTCGAAGTACCCAAGGGCTGTAGATATCGCGGGGCCAGCACGCGCACCAAACCTGAGAACAACCGAAGCACGCGTTTGCACGTCGCGCGAGAGCTGAAACCAAGGTGGCTCACTTCGTTTTGGCTCTTTCCACCAAGACGCCTCGGTATTGCGTTCAGGCCTAGGCAATCTATACCAGTGAGCGGACATACCGCTGCGGCGCTGCTTTCAGAGGCATGTTGTCGTCACGACATTCCATTGAAGCTTCATAACCAACTACCAGGTGGTTTTTGATTATCGTTTAATTCACTTTAAAATATGTTTTCTTGCGTTTTCTAGCGCCATATTTATGTTTCTGTGGTTGTGCTGCTACCTGCGTCGTGCTGAAACAAAGAAATGAGCTCCAGAATTTGGTTTCCGTACCCCTTTAAATGTGAATGTTTTTTTAATGGATCCCTTACTAGCCATGTAGGCTATGGATCCAGATGACTAATCAGACATTTTTTTGTACATCTTTATGTGAATAAACATTGATGATGATGACGCGACGGAAACGCCAGGCTTTTGTGATACGGACGTCAGCTCCAGCGCGGAGGGAGGGAGAGATGCTCGTGCGGTACAAACAACCTCGGTTCGGCGGCGGATCAATTTGTTTTAACAATAGTCTGCCATCAAACGCTTTGGTGTCAAATGTTGAGGTTGCTTAATTCGTTTGCGGTGCTGTGAAGAATGCAAAACGGTAAATTCAACTGCAAACGCTGACATCCCTCCCCCTGCACCTCGCCCGTGGGAACGACGAAGCTGAGAAGGGAATTGTGTCCGCTCTTACGTACCGCTGTCAGCGTCACGCACATTATTTCTCCCCCGTGCGAACACCGCTTGCACACCAGGAAACTTTTCATTCGCAAGCGATGGTAAGTGCCTTCACGGCACTCACTGGCCACGAACGCGAATCGAAATATTCGTCGACAGACTGATTATGGACGAGCGCATACGTCCGAGTGACAAAGTGCTCCCGTCCAACGCGAGAGCTGGGTTCGGCTGAAGCGCTTGGACACCGCGGATGGATGGCAGTGAAAAGCGGAGAGCTTTCGGAGGAAGGGGGGTAAAGAACACCCAGCTCTCGCCGTTTCGGTATAAACATTTTCAATTTTTGTACCGAAAAAGCAGGCTTGTCGTCTTCTACACTTGTCCACTAGCTTTCTTCGGCCAACTAAAGGATGTGCTATTAGCAATATCCAAATGTCTAGTCATTTATTTCTGTCCCCCCCCCCCTTAAAAATATGTAATTTCATGGTCCCTTTAACACATTCCGCCAGCTATCCCCCCAGCGATTAGTGGCAGACACAAAGGCTGACTGCCTTTGCGTCTACCCGCTCTCTCCCTACAATCAGAGAGAACGACAGCGTCGTCTGCTTCTCTCGTTCGAATGCCGGACGCCGGCGCTCGGCGTTCGAACGCGTTCGAACTCCGAGTAGAGACAAAGGCAGCCAGCACTTGCGTCTCCCCGCGATCCTTCGAAACAGAGCTCGGCAGTCTGACGTCTTGCCACGCTCTCACATTTTCCCCTCCCTTGCTTTATATCCTCCTACATTGGCGTCCATGTCTGGAACATGCGATAGAAACCCTAAGACCATCGACATTATCTAAAGCTAGAGAAAATCATCCAAGAGCTCTGCCCTTTTGGTAGGTAGCGTCAAGAATGTAATTACCCTTTGCTCGATCCTTTTCCCGTTTCGATTCAAAGACACGTAAAGTTCATCGCCAATGAGTGAACTTTTCGAGAGATGCAGGGTTAAATGCTCGTCGACGCGGACTACTTTCTTGTCGTCCAGCGACCTTTCCTCGATGACCATGGGATACACGATCCGGGCTCCATTGACGGCTGCAGAGAAAGTTTCGACATTTTGAGAAAGGTTTGCTCAAATTCATCGGCTACGTGTTTGCGAAAGCAGTTCTATCGAGACTTTTTCGAAATAGCCAACCGTCGATTCAATGGAGTTTGCCTCTCGCATTTGAAACGAGGACCCGCGCGTGTACCGCTCGCTGGAACGTACGCACCGCAACAATGCGTTCACGAGTGGAAAATAAGAAAAGACACGGTGGCTCTCTGCATGGTGACTGAATTTTCTGCGGACCTTCCTCGAGCATATTAGAAGCTATCTTGCTTTATATTCTCACAGGTGTGCTGAAAGTTTTCGTGTAACCAATAGGACCGTGATACAAAAAAAAAAAAGTAACACACATCAAACAATGTCTGCCGAGGGTAGCTTTTTCTTTTTTCTTTTTTGTACGATATTTTTGCAGTGTGACTGCGTTTTACAGTTATTTGCTAGATTTAAGTTCAGGTGATTTACATTTCGGTATAACGATAGCCTCGGTGAATACCTCAGTGAATACATTTTAGCCTCGATAGCCTCGGTATAACGATAGCCTCGGTGAATACATTTATTTAAAGAAAGGGCAACCGGATACCTTGATGAAATTTATCTTATCCATCATAACTTACAGCGCGACTGGAACAAGGATAGACAGAGGAGAAAACACAGGACTAAGCGCTGAACTAGAAACTGATTCTATTGAAAAGAAAAACAGAATACACATGATGCAGCTGCTGCTCGTGCAGGCATGCCCGCCCGCGGCCCTGGCGCTTCTTTCACTTAACACAAAACCGGCCGAGTAATCCAAGGTTCAAAAAGCTGATCACACTCTTCGTCAAAGTCACTGTTGCCTGGCTCACACACAAGGGTCCGTTTTGTGTTACGGGGTACGTCTCCATTATTTCTCGGGGTAGTTTGCACTTGCGTCAGAACATCACTGTCAATGCTACTGAAATGGCTGATTCAGTCGCCCGCAAAGTCATTTCTTGTTTTGACGATAGTAGGCTTCGACGTCGGCTCATGGGGAAATTCTGTCTTTCTCAATTATCTTTTGATCCAAGTAACGTCAGGTTTTTAAACTTTCTCGTTCTATCTCAACCACTAGCGTCACATTCCCACGGAGTTCGATCTTTCTGCGATACGTAGTTTGTTCACGCCGGGCCGAACATCACGACTAACCTCACAAACACCCGGTATATTTCAGTACGTTTTCAAACAACGTTAAGGGGGCATGCTTTTCAAAGATTTAGAGCAAAATGTCCGACTCACCGTTGGCAAGCTCTCCGAACGTCAGTGTAATAAAGAAGAGAACTTTAGGGGCGTTGAGCCCCGCACAAATTGTTTCTGTCGTTTTTGGCTTCCGGCAAGCGCTACTGCCTGCAATGCTACGTTCGTGAAGGCAACGAAAAGATTTGCAAGAATATGCCTTCATTGTGTTATCCCGGGATTATTACCGAACGCCCTACGAGTTCATACGAACTTAGTCCTTTTTAATTCCTCATGCAAGTTCCCTTTATCTAGCAGGTGGTACTCGCTCTATCAATACCGATAGCCTCGATGTGCACTAAAAACACGAAAAGTCACTGGTAATTGCGAAAACACCGACACCGACGTCGTTTCTAAGGGACGTAAGGAAATGTGCGTAAAAGGCCACAGGTTCTGGTTCTCCCCATTAAAACTAAAAATGAAAAGTTATTTCGTTATAATTTATTTCTATCTTTATTTAATTAAAGGTTGGATGGGGTGGTCAAAAAAAAATTAGAGTTCTTTCTTTTCTGCCGCAAAAATAAATTACGTGTCGCAGAACGCTCAAACTCAGCCCACGTATCGGGGTGTCGAATCGTAACCGTAACTGAACCATAACCGCAGCTGATTTTTTTTTTTTCTTTCGAGCAGGAACAGATTTCAAATCGAAATGTTCGGCGCCATTTTGGAGTTGAACCAGAACCGGAGCAAAAAACAAAGGACCGTTCCGAACCGGTTCACGAAACGGTTCGGGCGCGCTCTTGCGCTATAGTATTCCGCGCGCTGTGCGCCGGAAATTTTGTGAGGCTGTAGGGAATCGCGTACCGCCGCCGATTCGCCATTTCCCACGTGGTCCGTCAACAACCCGAGTCCAGCCTGGTTCTTTCACGGAAGCGGGATTCCGCTCCCCGTTTATTGGTACAATAGAACACGACGCTACAAAACACTCAATCTAAACTACAAATACAAGCTACATTACACAAATATTTACAAACGCACGTCAATCCCAAAGCTAATCACAAAGAAGCCCCCAGGCCTCGTGTCCCGCGATTACCCTAGATCCAGTCGCAACCCACTTGCCAGCGTCTCGGTCTCGTCCGAAGTTCTAAGAGGCCTTCTCTTCGCCCCCTGGCCCACGATCGATGGGCGAGGAGGTTTTTCCTCGTCCGCCATGGGACGCCTGCAGCGCCATCCAGTGGCTAGGAGAGAAAGCGGCACGCCGGGAGCCAAATTCAAGATCCCGATCGACCCCGCGGCGACACGACCATGGGATCGTGTCTGAGGCGAGGCAGCTACGCAGCTGCCTCGCGGCCAAGATTGGCAGAATGGTTTGATGGGCGCCCTCGTGAATGCACGGTGCGCCATAAGGCTTAGTCAGCGCTACGGAGCAAATTGTTTCCACTTATGCAACCATTATCGTAAGCATAGTTTACAAAGACAAAGTTTAATAACTGCTCTTACTGACTGTCATAAAATTGGCCTGACCCGATCAAAGTCATCGCGCCCACACGCCCAGCAAAAAGGCGTCGAAACGCGCCGAAGGGATGACGCACCGAGCTGCCGCGGAAACAACAACACTGCATCAAATTCGGGTTTATTATGGTTGATCGAACGCCATTCCATCAAAACACGTTTTGGAAAATGGGCACGTTTATCGAACCTCGGTTTAGAGAAAGTGGAGCCTCAATTTGGAGAAACGCCGTTTATCAAAAACGGGACCTACTTAATACTTCCTCTAACATTCATCTCTTCGTTTAAATGCTTATGCAGGTTTATTTATTTCGTTTTTCTCGTTCATAATTACTATTTTCTTTACGGCCTTTGAGGCTGTGACAGGCACCTAATCCGGGCCCTTAGCCACGAAGTTTGGAGACCCCTGACGTAAACGAATAAGGGTAAAAGGTGACAGGTTCAAACTCTCTATGGAAACTAGATATGAGAAGGTATTTCATTATCATTTGTTTCTTTATGTATTCAAAGGTTGCGTGGAGTGCTAAAAAAACATCTAATGTTTTTTTGTTTGTTTGTTTTTTTGCCCAAAAAATATAATACGCATCGCCGAACGTTCAGACCTAGACCAAATGGAGCGCTGGATGTCTGCACCATATACCGAAGTGTCGAAGCTCACCGTTATCTTTTTAAAAAGTTATAAACACTTTGCTGAAATTTTCCGAGGCAAAATGGCTGCCGACGTTAACTGCCGGGAACTTGCCTCATTTTCCAATTAAATTTTCAAAAATAACATAACTTTTTTTTTTTTTGACACTGGCAGTTGGTTTGAACTTCTAGTGCTACATTTCCGCGGAGAATGAGCGTTCGGTAGAGTTTTTTTTTTTTTTTTTTCTGGTTGTTGAGGGGGGTGGAAGGGAAGGGAGGGGACGCTGTGGGATATGGGGCAGTGGCCTCCGCAGTGCTTTGGTTGCACTCGCCTGCGCGTTCACACTTGTGTTATCTAGGGCAGAAAGCTCACGCTGATGGAGGAGCTTCTAGTCTCAGCTTTAAAGGGCGACTGACACGCCAAACAAATTCAAAGTGCCCGCCAGTGCCCTGTGACGTAACAATGTACCGCAAGGTGTCGGGGCGGTCAGAAGGGAGGCATCGACCTACGTCACTAAAAGCGGGTTCCCCGGAAACCACGTGCCTCAGTCTTTTTTGTTTTTATTTTGTTTTGTTTTATCATTTTGGGTTTTCCTACGAGCGACCGTAGAAGACGAAGTTTTAGTTCCACTAGCGTTTTATCGTTTGAGACGCCCCGGTATCAGCTTGATTGTCCTGCATGTCTGCACTTCATAACATTGTGTTGTTTGTGATGCTTTAGTTTGTGAGCATCCGCAGAAAAGCAGTTTCAGTCGTCTTATCGCTTTAGAATCGCTTTGTCGTCTGCTTCGTTGTCTGCTTCGTCGTGTTCGTGAACGCGTGAGCCCACTGCCCTTCCCGCGGTGGTCGCACTGCGGCCGCGGGAAAAAAACAACGACACCACTACTCGAGCACTCCAACTGGTTGGTCGTCTTAATTAACTTGGAAACAATGTCGCAATGGCAAAGAACAAGAAAATTCGAGGGACCATCGACTCGGTGAGGCGCCACAGAGCAGCATCAAATGTGTTGGTGAAAAACTGTGCTTGGTAGTGCATAGGCTTGGGCATAAGTTTTAATCGACAATGAAGTATAGAGGAGCTAAATAGACTTTCTCGGTGAGCAATAGTTTTCTAAAAGTTGTTTCATTCTAGTTGACAGCCTGTGCAACAGGGTACAGATTAACTGCGGGAGAAGCCTGCACAGAAAGAAGTGATCTACAGAAAGGCCATGCCTAACGCGCCGTAACAAATGGCATCTGTTAAAAAGAAGCAACCATGCCAGATACCTAAAAGCTTAAGGTGGGGATGATTTTTCGTGCACAGTTTCTGTTCAGTTTTATTTTCTTTGCGCAAGCTTTAAACGCTAATAGTCGCCCGATGAGGCATTTCCTGCGATCTCGGTTGTTGTTAATGCAGAATGGGTCAGTAACACCAGCCTAATAGGCGACCACAAAATGAATGAAGTTCGTTTGTTACATTTTTGGCGGTAAGTGTTGCACTTCTAAATTGAATTATGTGGTGTTTTCACGTTTATATATATATAAAAAAGTGAAAGCTGCTTCCGAAAAAAGTTGTTTTATTTCAAGCGATGCATATCGGGAATCGCTGCTCTTTCTTAGTGATAGTCGTGATCTTTTGAGGCACAGCTGTGCTTGAAACATGTCGTCGCAATAATAGTTATAACCACCAAAATACATCGAGCAAAAAGTGTATTAAAAATGGCCTCCGCAAAGCTGTGCGGAGGTTTTATTTGAGACAGACCGACGGATAGACCGCAACGGAACGAATGCTCAGAGAGATTCCAGCGTACGGAACACTTTGGCCCGCTCTATGGCTCGTGCTTTGTAATCTTTCACCTTTTAGCTGACGTTCAATAGGATAGGTATAAATTATGAAGCAAACCGCAAAACAAATCGTAAAACGCTCATTTTCCTGCCACTCTGTCCGGTTGTGTTTACCTTTCTCTACCATGCTTCTTTCTTTCGGGAAGACATAATATCCGAGGCCTATTTGCCTGGTGCTGTTATTATAGCTCCGTGGAATACAACAGGTGAAGCCACAAATTAAAAATTATGAGTAAACACCACACTAAAAATCTCGTGCTAACTCGAAAATTTCCAAACGCCGGGCGTAGAATGCACATCGACGCGGCCGGAAAACTGAGGAGAACTACAGGTACCAGAATGCACCGCGGCAGCGGTGGCGTCGCGTAACTCCTGGTGAGATCGGTCTATTGGGGAACACTTTCAGCTGCCAGTTTATCGCTCTAAGTCCCTCTACCTTATTGAATCACACAGACATCATACAACAGACAGCCTGCATGCAGACACTGTTCATGGTCTCCGAGATCCCGAAGCGCGCGCGCGCGCTTCGGGATCTCGGAGGTTATGGGCTGTCTGAACGGTATTTCCTCCTTGTGTGAGGGTCAGTGGTCGCATGGGTTACACAAAAACTCTCTGCAGACTTATTCGAAGCATGTACGAAGAGGCGAACACTACAAATATTCCCATTACTTGTAATCAATTACTTTTTATAATTACAAATGTAATGTGATTCCTTTCTAAACATAGGAAAATTACTTGTAACAGGTATTATTTCTCTCTCCCCCTCTAACGACACCATTTGTTTCAACAAGTTCCCTACCAGCATGGGCGTACCAACCGAGGTGGCAAGGGGGGCACTTGCCCCCCAGGTCTCAGAGTGGGGGGTGGGCAAGGCATGTTTTGCCCCCCCCCCCCCCTGAAACAGCCGCCACTGGGCAGGGCAAACACTGGCCGGCGGCGCCCAAAGAATACCAAGGGCACCGCCCCCCGGCATTGGGGTGGGGGGGAGGGGGGGGTCTGGTTTGCCCCCCCCCCCCCCCCCCCCGCCCAACTCAAAAACAAGTTGGTACGCCACTGCCTACCAGGGAATTCTCGAACCCCCCGGCAGGGAGACGGTCCACTAAGAATTGGTGGATTTAGAAGGTGAGTTGTTTGTATAGTCACGTGATTCTACACCATTGACAGACAATGCTAAAGGTCCGCATTCAAACCAAACAAAAATGTGCCGTTGTGAAAATTTGAAGTAGTGTGAAAAGTAGCGGTTACTCTTTCAAGTAAAGGTCAATT